AACCCCATGATTGTTGCAGTAGACCTCGAAACAAGATGTCACGTATTCGAGTCCCCAGGGTTGCAGGCCTTGGAGGCTGATTATGGCTGGCCGTTGACAGTTCATAACGTACAAAATTGATGTCCAGTCTCAGTTGTCTTTTCTGGCAATGGTATCCCGTCTATTCAAGACTTATATGTCTTCCACCGTATCAACCTATACACCACAAGTTGCTACACGACTGTTTTTGTGGGCGCTACAGCCCATTTAAAGACACAACGGAATATATCGGTCCCGTAACCAGCTCGGTATGTCCCACCCTATCATGGTGGAAGAAATCATTCTCTCAAGAACGTTATCAGATCAAATTGGAAGAAATGAGAATTCAAGGAACGACCATCGTAGGCCGAGGAGCCTCAAAAGCTGAAAGATTGACGCCTGAGGCATGGTACCCAGAAGCCAACTCTGTCAACAGGCATTTGGACCTTCCTGCGGCCTACAAAGTCCTACGTCATTAGGTAAGTTGAGGACACGACACGGTTAAACCGAAGTCAGGATTTGCAGGTGAAGATGGACTTGTGAAGAAACAACCGGAAGAGGAAGCAGGATTACTAGCATCCTCTACCGTGGGGACGAAACAGAAGGTCCACTGCCGTCACGCCAAGCTAGAATCTACACGCAGGGCTAAACAGTGAAAAGGGAATATTGATCAGCCCAAGGTTAGCACGCACAGCCGCAACGTTAAACTTGCTGATCGATAAAGTCAGTATTCGCTTGGACAAAATGACAGCTGGTCCAGCTGTCCGAAACGTCAGCGAACTTACAAATTTATTCCGGTGAGCAGAAGATGAACTCTAAAGTTATTAGAGTAAAATGTCGTCTTTTTTTCCCCAGGTCTTCCTCACAGCATGGAAAATGTAGGAAACAGGTAATATTTTAAGCATACCTGAACAGTTAATAATGTCTAGTCTTTCGAGTTAGTCAACCACCATTTTATGTCGAATTCAACTTTGTATTAACCTTATGCTCCTCCAGTTATCCTTAAACTCGTCTAACATGGCGTCCAATTCTACATTTTGATTAATGCATGGGAAGTCAGATTGTTTAGCCTCCAAATATTATCGGCTTTCCTTAAATAAACAGCCACCAATAATACAACTTTTGTTCAGCGTCTAGTGTACGCCTAATAACTTAGTACAATCATGGACGAGGAAGAAGGCGTGTCGAGCACCAGATCAATTGATTTATCGTTCTGAGCTTTCGAACTCTTGCAGTACAATCAAGATCGCCGATTTTCTACTCACTCATGTTTGTGAATGCGTGTTGAGGTCTATTTTTAACTTTATTCTCAATAAACTGCATTGTAGATGTCGCATGGCCTCCTGTTGACGGTTTCTTTAAAATATAAATAGCCAACCCTATTCTTAACTTACGAAGGCTGGTTACGCAATTCAATCGTCGGCTTTTACGCCGCTTGTTCTTGTTCTTAAAACGATTCTGAACACGTTCTTTATGTATGGAAGTGTTTGATGTCTTTTTGTTGTAATCTCTGCTGGGTCCAATCTAGTTCTGTTTCATTCCCTTTTAATTCTCCTTGACTAATGAGCCACGGTACAAAATCTCTAATGCATGTACTTCGGGGACTCAGTTGGGTTCTTTATTGAGTTCATTAAACAAATGTTTTCTTTACTAAAAATCGTTAATAGGAATAGACTTTAAATCAATAGGATAATTAATCTCGTATTACAGAACACATTCTGTTTAAGTTTCTCTGCTGTAGACGTATAGAGGAAACATTTTGGCAGTCGTTCTCGGTACGAGTATATCAAACGGTTCTAGGTTGCTGCCCATAGATTTTTCGAACACATGGGTGATGCACGGTATAGCTGGCGGCATAACCCTTGCCGTTGAGCCCTTTTAACAACAAGAGTAGGTTCCTTTCTAAAGTATTTATGCAATTTTGGATGAGCTATGGGTAGTGCTATAAAAAGATCGTGTTTTGGAGTTTCTCCTGCATCCTTGTTGAAGCAAAACTCATCACAAAATAATACTGTAGCGATGCAATCTAGCGCACACTCGAGGCCCATGACCATGTTGAATCGACCGTGTTTTGTGGCAGTAAAAAAACCTTACCCGGTTCCTAATGACTTTCATCAACATAAGTGGTAATTTTTCCCAAAGAATTAATAGCTAACAACGATTCTCACCTTCGTTTAACTTGCATGCAGAAAAAAGACCACACGAAGTAATTTTTCAAAATATGTTGTTTAAGTTTTATGCCCAAGGACAATTTTCTCTGCCGGAAATGTCCTTGCAACTTCCCCGACAATGATTTTAATGGACCAAGGTGGCACATAGTTTATATTCTTGGAACGGAGAAAAGCTTTATCCCGTTAAAGGCCGATACGGTCTACACAAAACTCCGTTATTCACGAAACGAGTTGGTTCGTTTAATTTATATTTTAGTCATCTTGCAGAGCAATAAAATTCAGTAAGCAGTCAATTTATCTTTAAATTTAAATAATTTCATGCATATCTAACTAACACTCAACGTAACTGAACGCAAACCGCCCTTGTAATGCATACTGACCATTTTTGGGTTTGTACTTGATTGTGAAACTAGATAATTGGAACAGTAACACGCAAGGCTACGGCTTTTCCTAAGTACTTGCTAGTCTATCTCTAGCTGAAAATCGCCGTTAATTCTGTACATCAATGATAGTTTTGTTACCCCGTTGCAGTCGGTAGGGGAATACACGGTAAATAGAGCAGGCTAGTCATCTGTACACGTCAAGATTCCTCACACAAACATAAAACACATCCTATTGTCATTAATGCTGCAGTCAATTAAAGGGGAACGCCAAACCCTTTGATTTTCTCGTGGGAACAGGGAATTTATTGCGACATTATCTCCGGGAAAACCTATGACAGCTTCTTAGGTTTGTAAGAACATAATGGACAACTTTTGTACGGATCCTTTGCGGATGGAATTAGCACGGTTCATTTGCGGATGCTGTGATTAAATGATGACTAAGATTACCATCCTGTTCCACAATTTATGCACATATAACTTACGGTAACTTCTCTGTGGTGTAAAATGTCGGTCGCAATTTTATGAAGAAATATTTATGCATTGGGCTTGTAATCACGATAATCGTACAGGCCATCCGCAATCTATCTCAGTCATGGCAAGAAGCCGAATTCTGAACGAATTTCTTTCTGCCTGTGTACCAGTAAAAGGTATATTAGAAAAAAGTGGATATTATAGTGGTATGCATTTTTCTCATAGACTTACACTGCTCTTTTAAATTAAAAATAAAGTACAAAGTACATTCCCGACAGAGACAATGGAGACTAAGATGACCATTTCTGCTTTTTTTAAGTGGTCCGCTAGTCAGTCCCAACTCAGGTGCTGTCAAACGGCTAACAAGCTAGGAATGGTCCTCCTGGTCTCCCTTGTCTTTGTCGGTAATGTCCTTCACCGTGTATCATTATAAGCCTTGCGGTGTAGGGTCAAGTGTGAGCTGCAGAGGCACCATGGACGGACGAGTGTGTCCTCTAACTGATCGGTGTACGCCGGTCTGCCAAATTAAAATATATTTTACAGAAAACAT